TTGAAATAAAAATAATATTTTAAAAGGATAGATTTCAAATTTTCAAATTTTTAAATTTTTTCAAATTTTTCTTTATTGCGTATCATGTTGTACAAATGTAGTTGTTAAAAATAATGTTGTGATGAACCAAAACATGAACCCTGCAAGGGCACTGCAATCTTAAAATTATATTAGTTTATTAACAAGCAAATAATTTTATAACATTGATCCTTATAGAATTGAAATAAAATTTAAATTACAAAATAATTAAATATAATAAAATTTGGCAAATTTGACAAATTAAATAAGTTATGAAATTAAAATTAAATTAGATATACGAAAAATGATTAAATTTTGTCAAATAATAAACTTTAAATAAAAATTGAAAAAAAAGAAAGGATCACAATCGTCAACACAGATAAAATAATAATCTACATTAATTGTTTAAATATTCCTGAAGCGAATAGAAACATTTTTTAATAGTCATACTTACCAGGTCCCTCGTCCGCTTTAGGCATTTCGTAGTTTGATCTTTGTTCAAATAATATTGTAGATGTGGATGTAGTAACGTTTTATATAAGTTATTTATTATTTTTCATATCTATAGAACACGTTCTAGTTGACAACCTCCTGACTTAAAAGTCTATAGGTACTACCTCAAATGCCTTAGGTTGATTCCGTTTAACAGTGACAGTGTTCAATCAATCATTTTGGAAAAAATATGTAGTAAAATTGAGCATATACATTTATTAGTGTACGGTGTGAAACACGATTCCTACAAATTTTCACGATAGAAAAAAAACAAACTTACCTCGAAATTTTACAAGAAAATCGCTGTATTCAATAGGTGCTTTACATATACCAATGGTTTTTTTATATCAACTGAACTAGATAGAACATGTAGACTATACGATATTCACTTTTGAAATGACTCAATTTCGTTATTAAAATAATAAATTCTGAAATAAAGCCAGTGTCCTGCCGTTCGAGCCGAACCGAGCAAAATGAATCGTATTAATACGTAGAAAAATTTGTATTCAACCTGTAGGAGATAACAAAAAAGTAACCCTGAAGTTCGTCGTATGTCGAACCTCCTCTTTTTTAACTTTATTCTAGTTCTATTCTATTTTGGAATAGTTTCATTTCCTATGCGTAACAATCGCGAATACCTAAGAACTCGATAAATGCCTGTGTTTAAAGAAACGTATTTGTCAGGCAAATTATTTTATTATCATTATGATATTACATGACGATTCTATGCGATTTATCGGGTTAACCCATAAACCACGTACCTTGGTATTAGTTTCTAGGTCGTGTCTATAGAATGTCATTGATTTGAGAAGTTAATACGAAAAATTGGTTTAATTTTGTTTATACAAAGAACACCTGCAACACTACTCATGAAGTTCAAAAGAAACTTTTTATATGCACTCGTAACTGGATGATAATATCATCCACAAGCGCAAACGATTTCCAACTCAATATTGTATGAGTCACAAATCTATTGACTCATTCCATTCCCACAGGAAGATGCATTTGCTGCTATGACTCATCTACTAAAGGCGACATGGCTTGCAACGCGTTTATGATTCTTATACCTATAGGGTGTAAGAAAATAATGCGTCATATTTCTGGTTATTGAACTCATAACAATCATGCGTGGGAAAAATATTACTTATCAAGTAAAAAAATATGAGATGTATATGATTTTTTGATTCAGGGTCCCTGCCATGACTTTATGCAAAATGTTACTTCTTCTTGACACCGCTCCCTAGCGGGGCGAGAGAGAGAGAGATACTCGTAAGTTTAAGGAAATTAATATTCTTACACTAGCGTCACAGTACATCTATGAAAATGTAATTTATGTTAAGAGGAATAGTAAATCTCTTTATGAAAAATAGCGACAGACATAACATTAATACGAGGAATGAAAATAAACTAGCTGTTCTGTATGTATGTATATGCTTCTATAACAGGATTCCGGTTGATATACAAAATTTGCCATTCACGAGGTTTAAAACTATAGTGAAAGCAAAAACTTTATACTAAAGGTTATTATACATCTTCTGCGTATTTGGATGACAAAAATCCGTGGTAGTAACGCGTTTAGCTCATGGAGATAGTCTCGATCTCTGATGTTTGAAAGCAAAACAAAAAATATATTGTAAATGTTGAATGCGTACAAATGTTGTTTACAAAGAGCAACCCCTAGAGTTTCTTGCTCATTCTTCTCCAGGGAATCTGCCTTATGAATGAGCGGTAGAGTTTAACCAATGTGACGATTACAAGTGTAATAATGCTTACCTATGAAATAAAGATTATTTTTAAGTTCGATTTTGGCGCTGAACAATTTGCCATACAAAATTGTGAAATATGTTACGCGATCTGTGCATCGTTAGAATTTGTTTACATCACAGTTAGTTACGATTCGTGCTGTTTACTAATGATAAACAAAACGTTGAAACTAGTCCTTATTCTTAGCGCCCAACTTGTTGATATTGATTTATTAATTTTGGAATTTAAAATTGGTACGGTATTCTTAGCTTAAACACATTCCTACAAAACTGTATATGCCTACAGTTTAACCGCAGGATCCAAACGTGTCTTTCGTTCCTTAATAGCTTTGTATGATTTTTCATTCGTTAGGTTAGGTTAAATTCAACACTAAAGTAAGAAAGCTCTTAGATATGCATTTCATTACTGTTATTTTTTTTAGAATTGTAAAATTTGAATTGAAACTTTACTCTCACTTTTACAGATGACTTTTTCTAAACTTAAAAACTTTCATGACTACAATAGGCAGCTGAAATTTAGTGGGATTTTTATTTTACGCCCAGTATAATTATTATCCGTCGGGAGAATTTGTTTTGTGTTGAGTCAGGCGTTGGTTGCAATTGTTTTATGATTTTAACTAAAAGCATTGGCGATTCACCAACGTAGTACTGTAGACTAGGCCGTACTCTATGAGTAGAATTGCTGGCTGAATGAGTTAGTTTGTATTTAGAATTCTTTGAAAAAGAATGTTAAGAAAATAGAAGATCTTGACATTGATATTAAGATTATTGTTTCGTAACCCTAGACATGAAAATGGTAAAATAAACCAAAGTTTGAAGTTAATCCCGGTTTTTATATTATTAAAAGTACCTCTCGCAATGCGTCTGAGCTACAGCCCTCGATTATAGTACACATTACATTGGCACTATTACATTTAGGATTAAGCTGATAAGCTCACACTAGAATGACACTCTGAAATAATCCTGAATGTAAGGCACATTGTGCCTGATATGCTCAGATGGAAACAAATTACATTATCACCTTAAACGACATCATATTTAAATTTTTTTTACCGTGTATTTCTTTCTTCATTAACGGTTGTGTCTGACGTTTTTGTCATAATACCGTCCCTCCTCACGAGAAGACCTTACTCAGCTATCATAAGTGTCCGCTAATATCGTGATATGTCCATGTATATATACCAATGCTGAGAAAGTGTAAAATTGCTGAACCGAAAATTGTGTGTGTGGACCAATGGTATAACCAGTGGACCAACTTCACAGAGCCAGCTTGGTGTTGACCTGAGGTGTAATATACGACAACGTCTTCGGGGTTCTGTTGAGGTTTCCACGCTTTGGGATGTTTACGGATGCGTGTCTAGATGATTTTTAAGCAATCATGCGCAAAAAAGTGCGTCACAGATGTTGCGACTGCATGGGAGCACCAATGGTATGCTGAATCTAAGGATGATATCAGGCAGAATCTACTCGGCTGTTTTCCATAAGTTCACCGTGTAACATGTTGACAATATACAGTAATTTTATTTATTATTATTGTTCTCCTTTTTTGAACTAACTTAGCACATAACGTTTACTATTATTAACAAATTTAAATTAATTGGTTTGATAATATGAATTTGAAATTTAAAAATTAATTCACCTAAAGATTATCCCAAATTCTATCGTTTAGTTTTACCGAGAATTATCCAGCGCTCGCAATGTATGCCATTATACCACTAAAGAAATCAAAGAAAACAATTGAAAGAAATGTACGAGTATAACAAGTTTCTATCAAAATTCATGATCATAGATTCACTGACTGTACACCCTATATACAGGTAAATATCTACGAGTAAACCTGATTTGTACAAACTGTCGCACAAGTCGCGGCCCTCAGTTCAGTGTTGCCGTCGGCGTCGCAAGCGATCGATACGTCGCGACGTACCGACGACACTTGCTACTGCCAGACTCACTTTTCACACGGCCACCCGCAGACACACAAAGACTTTTCAAAGGATTTCCACTCGAGGAGTCTCTTTGATATGCTTCACGAATAGACCCGTCTTCAAGATTGTTTTGTTGAAAGTTGCATTCATGGTACTAATGTAGATTTGTGTAGCAAATTTTGTGAACAAGAACAGTCAGCCGGACTGTTTACAGATCTGTAAATAGCCCGCATTTTTAATAGCAGTGGAGCTCCTTGTGAAAGAGTTCGTCCAGGGAACTACTGCCACCTTATCTATTTCTGCCGCCAAGTAGAAATGTGAACATTACTGCGTTTCAGTTCTGAATGGGTAACGGTGTTGGTGAAATTACAGGCACATGGGACTTTTCAACGAATGTCTCAGGTTAACGGGCGCAGAGACCGTGTCCATCAGATCTTTGCGATTGAAAGCTTTGAAAGGCACTGCAACTGTTACAGACAGACGTGACGCTTACCACCAGGCACACGACTTGTTCGTGTCGTAACTTGGTACCGTTAAAAAAAATGTACTTATATCATTTGAAGTAATGTTGTAGAAAGAAAATTAAATGTTAAATGTGGATTATACCACTTTTGCGCTGATAGTCTCAGTTGATATCTACGGGTCGGACGATGAATTTTTCATTTTTTTGGTGTGCATTGTTTTGTATCGAGAGATTTTTCAATTTTGATTTAAGTTTTGTTCATAAATAGATAGAGAGAAATAGAGAGAGGTTTATTTATATGAGATGAACATTACTCACCAGAACTATTGTTTGTTCCAGTGATTGTAAATCCGAAAGCCCCACCGGGCTCCAAGGATGGCGCCAAGAGTTTCAACTTTGATTTCTCGTACTGGTCTCACAACGTAAGTATAAATCATTCAAGTTTCTTTTATTTGAGAAAATATTAGATAAATGCATTATATTTTTATGAGATTCTGATCTGCTTATGTCATCCTCAATAATAAAGCGACGAACTTCATAAAGTAATGTGTTTGAGAAACCAAAAAAAAAGTTATGAAAATAATATGATTTTAGTAACAGTACAGCTCCTTGTGAAAGAGTTCATCCAGGGTAGTACTGCCACTTTATCTAAGCCTGCCGCCAAGCAGTAATGTGAGCATTGAACGCAGTAATTTTTTCGCATTTTAGAAGGGTAAGGGTGCTGGTGAAATTACAGACTACATTAGACTTGTCAACTTAAGTCTCAGCGTGACAGACGCAGTGGCAGAACCTCTAAGATCTTTGCGATTTAAAGCTCTGAGTGGCACTGCAACTGTTATGGATAGGCGTGACGCTTATCACCAGACACACGACTTTTCGTCCCATCATTATTATAAATAATAATTATAACAAACTAGTCGAGTACTTTTACAAAAAAAGAATTGAATATCATAGTAGTAAAATATATGTGATATTCAATAAACTGCATATTAAAGTTCGTTTTGTTAATACAACTTGATTATATTGCCATTTTTGCTTAGTGCTTGTTTTATAAATCTCAACCATAGATAACAGAAGATGAAATTTTGCTAAAAATTACTGAATTGTGAATGTTATACGACGTTCAGTCATTTTCAGCAAAATGTTATCTTCTTTCACAATCTATCGATAAAACTGTCGACAACAACTACATAACTATTTAAAGTTTTATGAAAACTGGCAACCCAGCAAATGTCATTTTACTCCGTCTTCAAAAAAGATAGACTATAAATATATATAAACAGTAATTAGTTTACTTGTTAAATATAAACGTATAAAAATAAAAAGTGAAGTGAAAGATTATGCTGTAATATGGTTCAAAAAAATCTATTATAATTATTTTGAAAACAACCTAAAGTAGAATTTCTTTAAATCTCCAATAATGGACGTCAACAATCCACTAATTAACTAAACAGTAACTCCTAATAATGAACACCCAGTAACTGACGCTTACAAATAACAAACGTTACTATGATAGAAAATGTTGTTCTAAATCTTATTGGAAATGAATTTAAAAAAAAGATGTTGAACAGTGGTGCTTCTCAGTCCCTGGTGCAAACACTTAGGCTTATTTACATTTCATGGTACTTTAAATTGAATTATCAAAGAGAGTAAATCGTACGTATTTTTTATATTTAACGTTAACAATATCACACACTGAAGTAACTTATCACAAAACAGAAAAAAATACGTTAGAGCTCACCTAATAAAGAAATCCTAAAATCCATGTATAGCCTTATCAACCAACGGCGGCAGTAGTAAAATTCAATATGGCGGCCGGTCGGCCAAAACTACAAGGCGATTGGTTCCACATCTCATTACCGTTTGATAGGTCTGCTGGTTTACTCTGTTTTAGAGGATCCACAAGGATTTAGGTATCGATATTGTGGAACCAGAAAAGCAAATAATGCAATGTGATCAACCATTTTAGAACTCATCTGTTATGTATGGTTGAGATTTATAAAACAAGCACTAAGCAAAAATGGCCAGATAATCAAGTTGTATTTATTAATAATACGAACTTTAATATGTTCATTTGTTTATATGTATGTGTATAATGTACATTTGTTTGTTTTCTATTTCAATGCATTATTAAAAACTAATGAAACAAAGCTTATTAATGTTAAGGTTTGTGAGAGACTGGAGCCTAAACTAGTTAAGCCCTGTATCTTAGAGCTGTACCTTAAATAATCCTGATCCAGTATCTTAAAAAAAAACTTAAAGCTCCTGGGCTCCATTTCTTGGTTGAGCAAATTTTGTACTTACGATTATTATGCAAAAATGCGGTTAGGGCAATGAGTTATCCAAAGACGACGATATATCTTATTATTCGACAAAAATAATTGAACAGTATTGGACTCAATGTTAGGGTGCGTACAGATCTGGCGTATGCGCCGCGAACGCACTGCATGTGCGCTGCGCGCGCGCTGCACGCGTGCTGTATGCGTGCAGTTAAATACATGTTAATATAATATGTAGCGCGAGAACGGCACGCGAATAGACCGCACTACTTAATGTACGTGTGCAGTTTGCGAGCCTTTCACTTTTTTATAAATAAACTGCCTCAAAAGTTTGTGGAATTACGTCTATTTGCCAAGTTTTATTGAGATCGGTTCACGGAAAGTGGGTGACATCCAACAAACTTAATTCATCCCCTAATTTGCTTGAACGGGACTACCACTGAGGTACACCCTTTCCAACAAGAGAAGAATCATCGAAATCGGTTCACAAATATCGGAGTAATCGCGTAATATACACACAAAACAAAATACAATCGAATTGAGAATTAATCAGTATAGAGTACTAAAAAAACCGACCTCAAAAGTACGTGGAATTACGTCTATTAGCTAAGTTTTATTGAAATATCCCCTAGTTCGCCACTATACAGGACTTGACACTGGAGATAATAAAAATCAGTTCTCACTACTCAAAGTATATTGAGAGAAAAACGCCTTGAATTGGAGAAATAGCAAAATTAACCATTAAAGTAATTGCTCCTAAATTAATGTTAGACGCTATTTATGAAAATGAATCTTCATGCGTGAACAGCCACCCTTCGAGGTGGATGATTTTCTTCAAAATGAAATGGGACCACTATGGAAGTACCCGCTTTCCAACAAAAAAAGAATCATGAAAATCGGTTCACAAATACCGGAGTTATCGCGTAACATACATACAAAAAAAAGAACAAGAATTGAGAACCTCCTCCTTTTTTGAAGTCGGTAAAAAATGGACATCAGCTGAATCTTAATGGCCGCCCTAAAAAAAGAATATTGATAATTTTTTGCACCCAAACACGAAATATCAAGTGATTTTAGATTTAATCCAATATCGGTAACCCTTTGGGATATTGAGGGGCCGCCTGCCGTCCCGACCGCATTTGCCAATCTCTTTGTTCATTAATTTTCATTCAACGTTGTTGATCAGAATTGCGGTTTGTGGGGCGCAATCGGAAATGTTCGGAAATGTTCTGCGATTACAATTTCGTATAAACGGTTTTGAAATACTTCTCTTTTAATTTACATTTTATTGCAATGAGATAAAAAAAAATCTTAACCCTTTTATGGACAGTAACATGGACAGTTTAAATTAAATATTAGGATATGATAATACGGGACCCCGTTTCATTACATCACAAAATACCAACTGCGGGTTTTACAGTGCGATTTTCAAAGTGCTTTCTGCGTTGCTGCCGCCTACTACTTTTACGTAGGGAATTGTCAACAACGTACTGACAAATTTTAATGATTTACGTACATTTACATTACGGCAAGAAAACTACTGACATTTCTGTGTGCCCTACTGTTCAAGTACTGATCATAAATTTCTTATTTCAATGGCTACGACTTTCAATTTTGCACAGTAAAAAAGACATTAGTTACGTTGTCTACGAAATTATATCAACAGATTCCCGTAAATCGCGCTAATTTATTTAGCACGACAGTCCCGCGTATTTGATTTGGCTACTAATTTACCGAAATGGAAAGTTATAATCCAATACTAGTTACGCGTTATTGCACTATCCCCGACGAAATGACGTTTCCAAGTGTAAAAATGTTATCTATGGAATAAATGATTATTTGACCTTGATAATGATAATCTAAGTGTGTAGTTGAAAAGCGCCATACAAATTGTCAGTTTTTTCAAAATTCATGAGACCTTAAAAATTATGAAGGGATTTATTATTTATATTGCCCAATTACATCTTCTTATAGGCACCTTGCCCACAGTAAAACAGGAGACAGTATATCAATGATCGCTAGTATTTTCTGTTCTTGTGTTAGCGTAATAACCTCTTAATAACCTCTAGCTAAATGACCCAAACTAGACTTTGCTAACCTGAGGTTCGCAAACCTATAAAAAAACGTAGCTTGCATTATGATTTTTGTAGCAGAGAGCTCCTTGTGAAAGAGGGAAGTATCCCTGGACGAACTTTACATATACCTCACCTTACTTTTTTCTGCCGCCAAGCAATAATGTCAGCAACATTATCGTTTGTTCTGACTTAAGGCCTTAGAACCCTTAACCCATGCCCTTACAGTAGGTTTATAAGTACGGAAATTTTAATTCATGGACTAAACTGAAATACTCGTAATATCTGACGACCCAAACAAATTATACAAACATTTTACAACAAGACTTGCTTCAAGTCGAAAGCATTTGGTACTTGTTTGCAATTTTAATGAAGATTTTGGCAGCTAGCCTTAATTTTATTGTAATTTATGCAGCCCCGTTATACTTCCGTATAAAATGGTCTTAATTCATTTTATTTTATGGTTTAAATTATTTTGGTTTTGTGATTATGTAATTTTGCATATATTTTCACGTGATTCAGGTGCGGATCGCACTAAAAGTTCGTTAAGATTAATGTGATAATATATAATAAAGAGTTTTTAAGTACGTGTTAAACCAATACTTGCAATGCAAAAGACATTCTTAATGCTTTGTATTAAGAGTGTCTTACCAATTTATTGGTTTAAGACGTAAGTACGTCTTAAACCAATAAATTGGTAAGACTTTGGTGTAAGTGGACATTATTATAATTGTTGAGACTTAATTTCTGTGAATGTTCTAATATGGCACATTGAAAACAATTACTTAATTTCAGAAACTTTAGTAGCACTAGAGCTCTTTGTGAACTTGGACAACTATCGAAGGAAGTACTGCTACTTTACCTACTTCTGCCGCGAAGCGGTAATGTGAACATTATTGTGTTCCGGTTTTAAGGGTGCTGATGAAATTACAGGCACATGGAACTTTTCAACTCATATCTCAGAGTGACGGGCGCAGTGGCAGTGCCCCTCAAATCCTTGCGATTTAAAGCTCTAACTGGCACTGCAACTGTTATGGACAGGCGTGTCACTTACCACCCGGCGCACGACTTGTTCATCCCCTCACTATTGGTATCGTAAAAAAAATATGGCCATGATTTAAAAGTTAAGTGTAATGACGGGTTGATTTTAACGTGCGATATTATTATCATGACATGCATTCATAGTTAATTTCCTATTAATGCTATGTAAGTGACGTTAGGTATAATTTTCCACCAAGAATCTCGATAGTTTTTATAGCTCAGTTCGTGTACCCTTTCTGTATAGGTCGGCAACAAAAGGAGCCTCGGATGTTAATTAAATTCTGTACAGTTCAACTGTAGTCAGAAATTACAATAGTGCAGTCAGCTGCACATGTAACTAATTGCTTTCAGCCAACTGTACTCTGTACTTATTAAGTTTGCCTTTCAGTGCAATAGCATTATTTAGAAATGAGTAGAATTTGTTTCATTTGAAACAGATTTGCATTGCACTGATACGATATCATAAATATTATCAACAGTGATATGTAATTAAATGTAGAAATAGTCTAGTTTTTTCAGGGCTTACGAATTAGAATGCCATACTAGCCTAATGGTTTGATAGATTACCTCTCAAGTAAAGCAATGAATTGACATGTCAATTTTATTACTTTTTTCAATCCAATAAATTAATGATATTATAAAGGTTTTTGAAATTTACTAAAATATCTATTGAAATTTTATTTCCCGAAAATTGCCGCTTTAGAGATATAACGACTTCCCGCAAAAAAAGTCAGAAAATTAAATTATTGAAAAAAAATTATAATGTAAGATCTGGCAGTATGGCCAATTGCCTGTTCCAAAGAAATTTTACAACTTACAGACATTTTTTAGTTCAAGTTATTTTGAGTTTTTTAATTGTTATTTACCTAACTGTTTATAAATAATAAATAAATAATAATAATTACAAAGAAGTTTAATTTAGAAATGTTTGTTACAGCCGAGTGATCCGGAATTCTCATCGCAAGTCATGGTGTACAAAGACATCGGCGAGGAGATGTTACAACATGCTTTTGATGGTAAGATTTTTTTAAAGTTTTCCATTCGTTGACATCGTAAGGCCTTACAAACTGCAATGAGAGTAGAACGTTTCGAAATGGTTGCAACAATGAATATTACTAAAATCCATCGTGTTATTACCAACTTTCAAGATTACACCATTCCGATTGAGATTGTTAAGACTTGTTTAAAAGTAATCTACTCGTGTCATATAAAACCAAAATTGCATTAGACTCAATTTGTATTGTGGCGGAACGGACTGGAAGCGAATTTTTGTAGCGATATTGTACATAGCAATGAACTTTATGGTCAATTGTGTAACTTACAAACTAGATACGAGCCAAAATCTTTCGCGAATTCTCACGCATGCTCGACTCCACGGCCTAGAATGAGCCTAAGAATACATTGCCAGCTATTGTTGTATAAAAAGTAAGTACTTTCTCTGGAAATAAAATTCTAAGAACAAAATTTTAATTACAAATAACATTATTTTACGCACTACATACTTTATGTCTCTATATAGTTGGCGATAGTAGAATTGGGCACATCGCAATGTGCCTGGGAATTTTATATTGTGAAATGACAAATTATGTAGCCGTCAAATACTGTTCCGTGTTAAAAGTCAGAGAAGCAAACATTTATCATTATTCCAAGCTAGAGATTTACCTGTGCATGTGAAATGTGAAATTCAATACTGATGACAGGCTTAAGTACTGTACTTGTATGCAATTTTTAAAAGTGTGAAACCGGAAATGAAACTATTTTTGTTTCTGGTCTAAAATCGCGTATGTTTATTTTTTCAAACGTACTAACTCTTCGAGCTCTTTACTAGTCCCATGGTCACGGCAGACTTAGTGAGAGATTGTTTTATAAATTAAATTGGTTGCACCAATTCTAAATTATGACGAATTAATTATTACGGAACTAAATCGTCGTCGGTCGAAGTAGACGCTTGCACTTACTGCCTTACAAAAACAGATCTAAAAAGTGTCAACAAAAACTTAAAATTTTAATTTTGGTAAATTTATTATGTTTTGTATAAAGTTATGGCGTTCACACAACCTCTAGCATTTTTATAGTACATAATGAACCCTTACTTGCCAACACTAACGCGAAATAGCTGCAAAGCGAGCGCTGTATATTAAATTGTTGACAATTTAATAACTGGCACAACACGCTCGCTACTTGATAATGCTATACATAGGAATGGCGGACGCGTACAGGTTACTTCATTAAAAACGGTAATGAAGTGTTTCTTTTTTCCGATACTAAGGCAATATTACATTATCATTGTACAGGGTCTTATGGTTCATATTATGATAAGATTATGGACTGTAGCAGATCACAGAATATACATCCCCAATATATTAGGGTATGGTATGGTGTAACGGGATGTTGTCTGCAACTCGACGTCCAAGCGCCTATTTTGCGTGTACAACCCCAACATATAATAAAAATATATTTTTCAACTCATGTTAGTATTCTAACCACGTAAGGCTCCATGCACATAATATGTGAAGTGATTCAGACCCACATAATATTATTCTTTTGATCATATAAACTCCCAGTGCAATAAAAACATCCCATTCAAATTTCGTCGAATCCGACGCGAGTCAGCTTTCGGGAAGCTCTGGGACGTCTTCTCGTCCGTAATACCGCAGTCCTTGAAGACAAAAGTCTTCGAACAATGTGTGTTACCAGCCATGACCTACGGCTCTGAGACGTGGTCACTTATTAAGAGCCTCATGAAAAAGCTCAAAGTACCGACATAGCTCGAAGGATTAGCAAGTTGAAGTGGCAGTGGGCAGAGCACATAGCTCGCAGAACTGACGGCCGTTGTGGCAGAAAGGTTCTTGAATGGAGACCACGAACCGGAAGGCGTCCAGTGGGACGGCCCCCTACTTGATGAACGTATTACCTGGTAAGGGCGGCGGATAACCGATGGATGCACGTCGCGTGCGATCGGCTAGTTTGGAAATCTTAATAATAATATAAAAATATCATAGGGTCTAGAAAAAAAAAATTTAACAATCCCAGCTGGGTTTTTTGATAAAACTGAGGGCATAATATAAGTACATGCTTCAAGTCCACGTAAATAATTATTCGAAGCACGTAATTACGTACGTAATGTTTAGTACATTGAACGTTTAGCGCTTATGCCGTTGTAGCTAGCTGGTTCTAGGCTAAACTAAGTCTCTATTAAATTTTCTGTTTTTTAGAATTCACTGTTATAATTTTGTTTAGATTGACGAGAATAATTCTGTTTAGTTGTTGCATCGTCATCATACACAATCCTATTCACCCTTAACTGAGCATAAATCTCTCGACATTTCTTTCCCGTAGTCCTCCACATATACAGCAACATTGACGATGTCATCTACCGATCTGTCACCACCACGTCTCACAAAATGTCCAGTCCGGCTCCATTTTTGCTTAGCATTATTTTAGCTCAGTTATGCGGTCATGTGTTGTGTTTTTTTAAACTTTTTAAATTGTTAACAGGCTACAACATATGCATATTCGCCTACGGCCAGACGGGGGCAGGTAAATCGTACACAATGATGGGTCGTGGGGAGGATAGCCAAGAAGGAATCATCCCTCAGATCTGCAAGGACCTCTTCAGGCGCATTAAGCAGACTACATCCGATGACCTTAAGTATTCTGTAAGTATATTATTTTTTTATGTATGTACATCTGCACTAGAGGCTTTTCTGGCGCTTATTTCATAATGTATAAAGTAGCTTTGGGTTACATCCCTAGACAGTTTTTATTTGGAAGAAAAACAATTATAATGGTAATGTTCAAGATGGCGACCATGTTGCAAAGTTTCAAAATGGCCACCGTAAAGACAACGGTTTACAGCAAAAAATGTCAGAAAATTTAATTATTGTAGAAAATATCGAGTTCTTAGGTTTTCGCGATTGTTACACATAGGAAATTAAACTATTTTTCCGGATTTAAATCGCGTATGTTTGTGGTTTGTTTAAAAAAATTTATTGTAGAAAAATTAAAATATACCTAAGATCTATCAGTGTGGCTAATTAGACACTTTAACCTGTCTCGAAGGACAGCTATTTTACTACTATTCTATTTACGTTACGCCGCGAGTCATTCCCCTGCGCAGTTGTTTATTTTTTTATATTTTATTTAGTATAATTAAGAAATTAGAAATTATATTTTATTTAGTATAATTAAAAACAAGGTCTAATTAATAGTATACTTATATAATATTTATAATATAATAATGATATTGTTCAAATGCTATTACGAAATAGCTACGTTTAGAATGTTTTTTCTTCCACTTTATCGCTAACATTCATCACCTCGTTGTTAATTCTCTTTTTAAATAATATTGTTGTATAACTTTTACACAATTCGTTTTCGAAAATCCATCCGCATTAAAATTTACGAGTATAGTTAACGTCTTCCTGAGTAATGCGACTCTCTTTGTTGCGCGTTCAGTACAGGCTTTATATTCATTACATTCTTTCACTTCATCACCTTCTGTGTATTATCGAAACTAAAGTTGAAAGTACATTTTTGGATCCAAAGAGCTTGACCTTGAAATCGTATATTTAAATTGTATTTCTTAGGTCATACATCACACTATACTTTCTTTTTATCCAAGGTCGAAGTATCCTACATGGAGATTTACTGCGAGCGAGTACGCGACCTGCTGAACCCTAAAAACAAAGGCAATCTTCGTGTCCGCGAGCACCCAGCCCTTGGACCGTATGTGGAGGACCTTAGCAAACTCGCCGTCACATCTTACCAGGACATTTACGACCTTATTGATGAAGGAAATAAGGCCAGGTGGGTGGCACTTTAATGGAGATTCGTTAAACCTATTGAAGAACTTTCACTATGGAGTGTCTGTAATATCTGACAAGCACGAGAAATGGTAGCAAAGTTGACTAAATAAAGTTGCGCTTCAGTAATTTTAATTCACTAATTATGACTGCAAAAGTGACGCGCGCGCGTTACGATAGTGGCGCTGCAACTGCGCTTCTAAAAATTGTATGAAAATTAGAAGTGTCGCGGCCGCAGAGCCACTGTAGCATTTCTATAAGCGTCTAATTGAAAGCGCCCTTATACTGCTTTTGTGATTGATAATAAATAATAACTACCTTACTCTTTATAGTAGACCTGTGCTTAGATGTGTGACGTAATTGTAATGATTTCTTTCTTAGGACGGTGGCGGCAACCAACATGAACGAGACTTCGTCACGCTCGCACGCTGTCTTTACGATTTTCTTCACGCAGCAGCGTCACGATAGAACCACCGACTTGATGTCCGAGAAGGTAATTTACTTGCACTTTAAAACAGTTAATTTTAACTGATTCATTAAGACTTACAATGTTTTGGAGCTTAATGCTTTTCCGAGTGTCAGTACAACTGGCTTGAAATTATTTAATACTTGAATTTCATAAAGTATTACTTGATTGTAAAATCAAAGTCATTTATATTATATTTGAAACGTAGGGCATCTTACTTACAGTATTTTGGGGTCCGAATATAAGTATCAATACATTATGCTGACTTGAAATGATTTAATACTTGAACTATAAGAACACTATTTTCATTTTAAATTTTACTTATATTTCAAAACTAGGATTTCATACTTACAAGTACATATTTTGGGGCCTAATACTTTGCGAAGAATCAATAATATTATACTTACTATACTCGAAGTCGTCGCCTTAGAGTGATAACCTCGCCTACGCATTTTCATATAGTTCGTTTTTACTGATTTTTGTGGAAGAAAAGCTTATAAACTTCTCGCTCAAATATTTTATTAAAGTAATAATCTTAAAGAGGTATAATTTAACTAATTAAAATGCTAACTACAAACGTTCTTGCGTTTACTACATTTTACACATCACATTTTTGTCTTGGTCCTGAAAAATTACATAGAAATCATATATGAGGTTTTCACTCTAAGACGACGAAGTGGATCTTGGCCTCCGAGAACAAAGTACGCTATTACTTTCGGGCCAATTCCGACCATTCGGGCACATTCAGCTCCTTCAGGTCTTTGGCGACTCCATCCAGCGATACCTCGAATGGCCTACTGGACGATGACCCGTAGGTTGCTCCAAATCCGTTCTTTTGGCAGCCCGATCCTCTCTCATTCTTTCCACATGCTCTAGCCAGTGATTGACATTATGCTACTTGAAATTGTTTAAACTTTAAAATTTCTATTTATTTTTAAAATTTATTCGTGTTTGAAGTATACATCGTAAAGCATATCCATCGTAAAAGGCCTTTTAGGATACGATAGTTAAATTAAACTTAATTCTAATTTAAAAAAAATTAACCCATCAACTGCTCATCAGGTATCAAAGATATCACTAGTGGACTTGGCGGGATCGGAACGCGCGGACTCCACTGGCGCAAAAGGCACGCGCCTCAAGGAAGGCGCTAACATCAACAAGTCGCTCACAACGTTGGGAAAAGTCATATCTGCGCTTGCTGAAATCGTTAGTATACGTATATCGAAAACGCAATTGCAATACAATTCATTTGTAGTAAATATTATTTCAATTGTAACAAGTGTAAATAATATAACCACAGTTATTATTTTACTTGACTTGGGTATAGTCCCAGATGCCATACGAAAACGGCGTCACATAAATTTCATTCTTAACAGGTTTTAAGCGTCACATTTGTTAAAGAAATATCTTTAACAGCAGCAGAGCTCCTTGTGGAAAGAGTTCGTCAAGGGAAGTACTGCCACCTAACCTATTTCTGTCGCCAAGCAGTAATGTGAGCATAACTGCATTTCGGTTTTGCAGGGTAATAAGGGTGCTGGTGAAATTATACGTACGTGGGACTTGTCAACTTATGTCTCAGAGTGACGTGCGCAAGGGCACTGCCTGTCAGATTTTTGCGATTTGAAGCACTGAGTGTCATTGCAATTGCTATGGACTGGCGTGTCGCTTATCACAAGGCCCAGGACTTGTTCGTCCCGTCACTTATTATTATAAAGAAATATGTGCCATAATATGTGACATTGTTAATGTGAACATAAGGGCAAGAACGGTACTTTAAGAAATTTCTGTGACGTTATTTGTCGATGGTCCTTTTTTTGCTTGTCCTACTTTATTTTATCATGTCATCTTTCTATTGCTATTTTAACCAATCATGTTTCTAGAAAATCATGTTTATAGAATATTGTTTTATTATTTGAACACTGAAGCTAATTTACTATAAGAACACTTACTCATTATATTTTGCTATTTTTGCACTTCTTCCATTTGGAATATTATAGTCGGTGAGTATTCTGCTTGTAAAGAAATCATAACGTAGCATTTGTTTTCATCAATTTAAAATATAATTTATCGCTGGTCCCGCAGTGAAAGAGTTAATTGAAGTTATGTGTAGATAATTATCACCACATAAAAAGATATTGGGAATATAGATAAAGATAGAAATAATCCAGCTTTTTCGGTAATACTTTTGTTTAACAACGTACTAATAACATAAAATTGATGACCACATCAAATAACCACATGTAATGTAATAGAAAACATATACGTTTCATAAACTTTTAATCGTCTGTCTTTCCAGTTTATTAATTGTTTGAAAATTGTAAATTGAACATATTTTTCTGTGTAAAATAGGCGTCAAAGAGCAAGAAGTCTAAGAAGGCAGACTTCATACCTTACCGAGACTCCGTGCTTACTTGGCTGCTGCGAGAGAACTTGGGCGGCAACTCTAAAACAGCTATGATTGCTGCCATCTCACCAGCTGATATTAATTATGACGAGACACTTAGCACGCTCAGGTAAATCCTACAGGCCTACTGCTTTACTGAGCCGGTTCCTGAGGTAGCTACGCGGTGCGAGAGGAGTGACAGCTTACGTAACAGTTATGTCGCTCTGCACGCGGGATAATTTCAACAAGATTTTTCTGACAATTTACAATAACAAATTGATAGAAAAAAAGTGCCTACCAAATTACTCAATAAAATTGTTGTTATGTGAAACGATAATAAAAAAAACCATTTCCTTTAATAATTAAAATGAATAGACAAGCCAATTGGCATATACAGGTTTACTTTTAAAATACTAACAACCTAGCGCTATAATACACCATCTATTAAAACATTTTTATTTTTGTATGAAAGTAACATCTGACGAACTATTAAATGTTATGGAACAAAAGTTGTTGTTTATGATGCTAGTAATCTAGTCCTGCGAGGTTGTTAGTATTTTAAAAATAATTCTGTAAACTTTTGTAAAGAGAAAAATAAAATTGATTGTAATTATTAATACAGATACAGATATTTTTCAGTTTCACGATATTTTTGTGAGTTCACCCACATTTTTTTTCAACTATGTAAATCCCATCAAATGGGGATAACAATATTAACTGTTCCGTATATTTAAACTCACTTGATCGAAATGTATTTGTGATAATATGGAGACATAAAATAATGCCAACGTGTATATATTATGACGTCATCAATTATGACCTAAATTATAAATCTATTAAATTATCTTTAATAGATACGCTGACCGCGCGAAGCAGATAGTCTGCAAAGCTGTGGTCAACGAAGACGCGAACGCCAAACTCATCCGCGAACTCAAGGAGGAGATCCTCAAGCTGCGCGAACTCCTCAAGGCAGAAGGCATCGAAGTCGCAGAAGGTACGCCTTATGTCACGTCAAATATTGTGGTGCACTATATGGTTTCGTTAAAAACCTTCGATTGCGACTTTTGAAAAAAAATAGCAACTTAAGGTTTTTATTTTTGACAATGGCTACAATCCATATAGGAAAAGAAAACATTTTTTTCAACATGGCCACCGTAAAAGTATCCCGCGAAAAAGACAAAATTAAAATGTTAAAAAAAAATACAATATAAGATCTGGCAGTATGACCAAGTAGACGCGTTAGTCTGTCCAGCAGCTTGATTTTGATTGCCTCCGAATCGAGGCGCATAATTGCAATTCACAACTGGCCGATCGGAAATCGGAACAATAGTTGATTTCGCTCAGAAACCCATCTTATTTCGAGACTACCCGATCGCATCGATTACAATTTGAATCAAAATCAGGACGCTTAATAACGAAAAGTGTACTGCTATAAAAAAAATTGTTAAATAATCCATAGTACATCTCAACTTTGTCGTAAATGGTGACCATGTGCACAATACATCGAGTATATAACCAGGAATAGAGACGAAATGTCATTTAATTTGTTTGAAAACTATTCTGCCATATCATTGCTGTGACAACTGCGCTCCGATTGGACAGCCCGAGTTCGAAACAATTGACGGGTGTCATCAATGGGTGTCGTCAACTGTTTCACTTCAAATCGATCAGTTAACTTGAGCTTTGCTATAATGGACGAAAATTGCAAAATTACATATTTAATATTTAATTACCTTAATTTAAAAAATTAAATGAAATGTGATTCCGTTTGTTTTGTAATTAGATGTTTTGCTGTTTTTCTTACACCACCGAATAGAACAGCACGGCATTGTTAGAGATATTATCTTTATTACAATAAATACGGAATATTTTTTGGAATATACGGAGACGTACACACAGTTGGCCTGTCGTCTATATTTCAGTGCAAACGGGAGTTGATATTTATAAGAGCTGTATCGCTAATGTGTTACCAGGAATATATGGCCCTTATTTCGTCTCTATTTCTGGTTGTATACTCGATGGCGCAATAGTACAGTCCATGATGATTAACAAGGTTCATTTTTTAATGATAAACCGCGGTCTATCATATTGTGTTGTTGCCAGTCGAAAACTCGAATGTTTTTAAAAATGCCAATAGTGTACCCCATAGGTCAGCAGGAACGTTTGTTTATCAATCAGGGTGTTAGAGTGTTAGTCGTCATGTGATTGATAGACCTTGCTGTGTGAATGTCTGTACAATGTTCTAGAAGTTTCTATAGGTATAAGAAATAAACGCCACGTATTTATTTAACTTCATCTTGATATTAAATTTCGATTTCTGTTCTTTCAAAACCGAACACTTAGGACCAGATGGTAGAGTTCTTTATGAAAAGAAAGAAACGAGTAAGTAAATTACAAAAAGAGGCTTATGCATCGCATCTGTACACCCCACCTGTACGCTTGGCCTCCATTTTGCGAAGGGTTGTCAGATGCAAAAAATATCTCTGACAACTCAGACCCGGATATAGAAAAATTGCAATTTTTTTTGCACCCTTGTCCAAAGCTTGTGGCGTTCGTAGGCATTACATAATCTACACTTGGCAATACATATGTATAAAAATGGGGTTATATATTTATATCTGCGCTTATAACATAATATATTGGTGTTGGTTTCGGACACTCCATCTACGTATTAGAAGAGTAATATATAGTTCTTTGTAATTACGTATTTATGAATGTTGTGTGATTTTCTATCTTCCTCAGATTGAGCATTTCATTTTTAGTTCTGTTAAGCATTATACATTAAAACTATTTTCTATAGTAATCCACTGGAAATCGCGTATACATTATTAGTTTTACTTTAAACGTAAAATAATTCTCAAGTATATTTGAAATTCTCAATCATATCGTCTTTATAAAAGACCGTTCGCGGCTATCTCTTTCTGACAAAAATGAAACTTTATGACAAAATTTTGGATTGAAAAAATCTACTTTACGCCCTTGTTGGGTTCGAAAGTTATATAAAAAAAGAGAACTTCGTAATAACTTTACAGTCGCGAACGGATATTCACTATGTATTTTATCGATTATTATATATGTTATGGCAAACAAGCTTGATAGCTTCCAGCCTTGCATGATGTCTTCGTATTTTGTGTCTGTTTAGAACAGTATTTACCTAAATATTACTATTTTAATTTTACATATGTAAGAGGAACAAAAACCTCACTCAGTATTGGTTGGATAAGGAAAGGAGCCGCACAAAACCTCATGTGCATTTCCTATAGTTATTGTAACAATATGGTTGATAATGGTCCCGGAAATGGTTTGGAAGCACGATAAATTAAACAACACACTAAAAATTCAGGAACTAGCAAGTAATACGCGACGTCAAATTTATATCAAGGTCATTGATAATTTTATCGACGTGTGTCAACAAAAAATTATCATTGTAAACCACAACAACTCAAAATCATTGTAAGTAAGCAAACTAGTTTGCCAACTTCGTTCTAACTCCCATCAATGAGTTGCGATGTACGAATAAACCTACTTCGGCTTTTTACTTTTTTTTATAAATAAATAAAATAATAACTTCGTACTGTTTTGATAACACATTGTTGCGTGTTGCTCGCTTCTATCCGAAATATCATACATCGTGTTGTCCCTTTCTCTCTCGTTAATGTATCAATATGCGGGTTTAGGAGAGGAGAACTCGTCACCCATCCGTAAGAAGAGTGAGGCTGAAGCGCTGTCGCCGAAACTGTCGCGAGCTGCCACTACAATCGCTGAAGAGGCAGTCGATCAACTACAGGCTTCGGAGAAACTCATTGCAGGTACGCCTTTTTTAAATTACACTTCCAAGTAAGGTTATCCTAAATTATTAAACTTGAGCTCCGTGATTGACCAGTTGTCACTTTTGATCTGAAAGCCCCCGTATACAGACAATTCCTCGTTTCGACAGTCGTCACGATAATCGTATCGATTTATTGCTACTCCTTTGGCATTAAAGTTAATCATTAACGATATAAACATACATCTCGGTATTTCCCTTCGTGATAGAATCAGAAGTGAGGAACTCCGGTAGGAGAACTAAGCTAACTGATCGTTGTGGAGATCGTTTGGGGGGGGGGCTATGCCCAGCAGTGGGCGTCGTATGGCTCAATGATGATGATGATGATGATAAACATACACATCGATTTATTATTTTACTTGTTAACTATTTATTTATAAATCTGTTATTTATATATCAGAACTAAACGAAACATGGGAAGAGAAGCTCAAGCGTACCGAGCAAATTCGAGTGCAACGCGAAGCGGTCTTCGCTGAGATGGGGCTTGCCGTGAAAGAGGGCATCACCGTGGGCGTCTACTCACCTAAGAAGACTCCGCATCTTGTCAACTTGAATGAGGACCCCAACCTGTCAGAGTGCCTCATCTATTACATTAAGGACGGTGAGTGTTTTATGAATCCTTTAGGTCTCTATTTTATGTTCCGTGTTCTTTCTTGACCTCGCTGCGGTTTTCAGAAGGACCAATTATGGAAACAAAGTTTTTAAATTGATTATGATCTATGCCGAAAATTCACTAATAATAGCAAAGTAATCACTTCGACTCTAAACTTTTTTTAGTTGTAGATATAAATATGTGCTACGATATTCGTAGAACAGTGATGTGGTACGGGTATACGAATATACGCAATGCTGCAACGTATCGAGAATCGAATCTGAGACCTCCTCATCCAATGCCCACAGTGCAAACCTATGAGCCACCGAGGCCGTCAAATAAAAATAATAGACCAAGAAGGGATGATATATTTTATTGTTATTATTATTATTATTATTACTATTAATAATTCATTATTTACCAGGTATAACGCGTGTGGGCACATCCGAAGCTCGTGAGCCGCAGGACATACAATTGTGCGGCGCGCACATTCTATCCGAGCACTGCATCTTCGAGAATACGGATGGTGTCATCTGCCTCATCCCGCATCGCGAGGCTCTTGTCTATGTCAACGGCCGTGAGGTACGGTACCTAAATAAAATTAAAATAACATAAAAAAGTAATTAAAATCTATTTGTCCTCTCACAAAAAACACAAACTTAAAAAATACGTTTTGATCGATGATAATGCGTCGAGACGGATTTAAAAAATTCACGTATGGATTTACTTTTGATTCCTACACTAGGCATGGCCTGTCTTATAGGCAACGAAATTCAAAGAGAATTAAATCATGTTTGGCGAAAATGTCTTTAAGAACAATTTTTTTTTATTTAATTAAAAAAAATGTAATTTAATTATCTACTTATTAATAACAATAGACATCATTTTGAAATAGTTGGTCCAGGAAAGCATGTGCCACTTTACTTATATCCGCTGCCAAGCAGTAATGTGGGTATTACTGCGTTCCGGTTTTGAAAGATGCTGTTAGGGAGTGGGTCTCAAATACGCTTTTAAAGAAATAGTTTTTTGACTTGCACGATTAACTTTTATTGAATAAAATGTTAAAAGAAAACGGCCATAAAACTCCAATCAGACTGAGTAATTAACGAGGGAAATAAAAAGACATGTATGCAAATCGCTGTTGTAGGCATTGACGCCATCCACGTGCAGAAGCACTGTGACAGCGTAAATCAAGGGTTCCCAATCTTTTTCAGACTGCGACGCACTCACAAGCTTAGTAATATGTCATGGCGCCCTAACATAGCTAGCTAGTCGTAATAGACAGGTACAGTCGAAAGAAATAAGTACAATGATACTATGACAATAATAAGTGGTAAGCGACACAATTGTACCGCTCAGAGCTTTAAATCGCAAAGATCTGAGGGGCACTACCACTGCGCCCATCACTCTGAGACATAAGACAATTCCCATGTGCTTGTAATTTCATGCTCAAACTACAGCTTGCCGACATAAATACTGCCGTCCTCTAACTAAAGGCTAAGTGACAAATGGTCAAATATTCATTTTAAATAGAAAGAGATAGAGCACAAAATTCTCTTTTAAAAATAGTTAAAATTAGTTAACTTCCGGTAAATTAGTTACCGGAACTTACCCTAACGTTGCATAGCTGAAATATCATTAAACCATTTCAATATTCTAAAACTGGGTTATGGTTTTTTATGACATCTCTAAAAAGTATTTTGTCACTTAACCGCGTTTTAGTTATATTTTTGTTATTATATTATTAGTAGGTAAGGTAAGGCAATACTTCCCTAGACGAACTCTTTCACAAGGAGCTGCTACATCGTAATTTCTTGCTCAAAGTTACACCAACTTCGTTTTATTATTACGGAAAATTTGCTTAGCTTGCCATTTTTGCTTATTCGATGTTCGTTTTCTAAATCTCAGCCTTAGTACATTTTTCGAATAAATTAATACAGTTTGAAACCATAACACCAAATAAAAACAGGATTGAGAAGGGTTGAGATGTTCAGAGAATCATTCCGTGAAACCTGATTATTTTTCTATTATGTTAAAATAACACCGTATCCATGTTATCACAAACATGTTCTTAAAAAAAAACTGGTCTACACATTGCCGTGCAGGTGACAGAGCCAATTATACTGAAGAGTGGTTCCCGCGTGATCTTGGGCAAGAACCACGTGTTCCGTTTCACGCACCCTGGCCAGCCGCGCGAAGAGATTGTCAGCGACAAAGGAGACACGGAGGCTGTACCTGATATGACCACCTCAAGTAAGTTAATTTAATAATAATAATAATAACGTTTATTGCAGAACATGTTGTTACATAATAGTTCTTATAGTAGTTTACAGTATGAAACATGTACCCTGTAAGGGCGTAGCAATGTCAATTTTTTAAATACACATTTTGATTACCATTAATTAAAATATCATTATAATGATAATTAAATCTAAACAAATATTTTCTGAAAAGTCAATGAATTAATGGGAAAACGAATGTCAAATTGAAGTCTAAAGTATTTCAAAAAAATTAATCGTCAAATTATTCTAGAATTATATTTCCAGACTCAAGCCGATTCTGCATCTATAAGTGTGTTTCCTTATTTGGAAACTACTGAATCGTACTTATCTTTAGGAGTAGTTTATGTGCATATTCTTCGAATCCAGTCGATTGAAATAATATTTTTTCTTTGTGTTATTGTAATTTTCTTTAAATTACGTCATGAGTATTACGTTAATGGTAACGCGTAAAGTAATAAACATTTATAAATAAGAAAATCAATTGATTTCTTTTCAAGAACCTGACCAAAATGGCTACTTAAATATTAAGTACTCATGCTAAAAGAATATTTATCTACAGCAAGCAGCGCAGATGCGGAGAACGTGGACTGGGACTTCGCGCAATGCGAGCTGCTGGAGAAGCAAGGCATTGACCTCAAGGTGGAGATGCAGAAACGGCTGCTGGTCCTTGAGGAGCAGTTCCGCCGTGAGAAGGAGCACGCTGATCAACAGTTTGAGGAACAGAGAAAGGTAGAAAATGTTTATATAACAATTTTGTCATTTTAATCACAGAAGAAAATTATTATTAGCATAAATAATTTTTCTACCCCAATGAGAAAAGCGCGTGACGTATATTTGTGTATGCATATATTAAAAATTGTAAACACCAAATTGATAATGTAGAATGAAGATGTCATGTTTTTTTAATATAATGTGTAAATTATTATGCAAATTTTTAAAATGTTTTTTTGTAAATTAGTAACAACCTCGCAGGACTATATTATCCTTTTTCCTCGTAGTGGGCGCCTGGTGTCCTTACTCAAATTTAGTAGGCTATTATAACATAGGTTTTTCGATTTTGTATGAGAGTGATGTACATGTTACGTAGTTTTAAATAATCTGTGACCAAACGTACAAAACCCTGCCATTGATTGACGCTCTTATCCGACGACACACAATTGAGATGATTCGCGTCAGCTTATAATTGCAATGTAATAAAATCTTCATTTTTCTAGAACTATGAAGCCCGTATCGATGCACTGCAGCGCCAGGTGGAAGAGCAAAGCGTCACCATGTCCATGTACTCCTCGTACACCCCTGAGGACTTCCATAATGATGAGGACATATTTGGTGAGCGCACATTTTGTCTGCCTATTTTAATTTTTAAGGTGTTCTCACATCAAGGTTATAAGCCGGATTATTTTTTAAATTTCTCTTGATTCTCCTGCTATATTCTCTTGTAGGTGGATCATTACAAGAGTATTTATTTACCTTAACCGTTGTTTAAAGCGTCGTATTATGTTGTATAATCTTAATGTGGTAGCACCTTTATCTATGTAATGTTATGCATTTAACCAAAACATTTTAATAAAATATTATTATTTCGTTTGGAATGAATACATTAGACTTATTCAAATTAATTATTAACAATCTTAATTATCCCTTAGATTTTTTTAAATAAAATTTTAGTGTCTTCATCTTCTAAAACTCCTCTTGTTTTGTTTATAGTATTAAATTAATGTTTTTTCTTATAATCTTTAGTCTAGAATGAATCCACACATTATAGTTCTAAATGTTTTAAAATTGATTAATTTTTGCCTGAACGATTGACAACACATCTAGTAACCATATATCACTTTTTGTGTCTTGTGATAATTTCGTTTACACTTTTTTTCTGACCAGAAGTCTTCATTTTGTATAGAAAATACCTGTCAACAAAAATGTCAAGTTCACGAATAATAACAATATTTATATTATTTTTTACTATCAGTTATAATTAATAAGTCATAGACAATGACATTTTCCTTTTTCTTTCATCGTATACGTAATATGCCAAAGTCAAGTTTTCAGTCACCATTTTCGTTATCACCGTTTAGAGATAGCGATTTTTGTATGAAAGTAAAATGTGATGAATTATTAAAAGTCATCAAAACAAAAATTGTTGTTAATATATTATTATATCCTCGTAGGACCATATAATCCTACGAGGTTGTTAAAATTTTACGGATAATCCTGTAGATTTTTAAAACTTTTGGTCAGAATTGCATTTGCATGTGTTTTTGATTAACAATAGTGTGATAACGTGTTGTTCTCTATCCGTGTAGTGAATCCCCTGTTTGAGACAGAGTGTTGGTCGGCTCGCGAGCTGGGGCTGGCGGCGTGGGCGTTCCGCAAGTGGAAGTACCACCAGTTCACCTCCTTGAGGGACGACCTATGGGGGAATGCTATCTTCCTAAAGGTTCGTATTTTTTTATATCATGCGTTATTATAACCAGTGTCTTGTGTTTTGACGTAAATATCATCCATCAAACAAGGTAGTCTTTTTAACCGACTTTAAAAATAGGAGGTTCTCAATTCGACTGTATTTTGTGTGTGTAGGTATGTTACGCGATTACACCGGCATTTGTGAACCGATTTTGACCAACCACTTTCCGTTAACCATTTTCTACAAAACTTGGCGGCAAATAGATGTAATTCCACAAACTTTTGAAGCTAGTGGTTTTATTATTATTATTATTATTATATTACTCCGAGGCACTTTACTCGAAACAACCAGATCAAAAGTACTTTAGAAAACTCCATTTTCCAAATTTCTTTTTTTATACCGATTAGTTCATAATGGAAGTTGCTTCAATATATACGTATTGTATTATCAAAACAATACACACTAACCGAGAATAATAATAAATCATTTACAATTAATATCAAGTGCCAAATTAACATTATTTTACCTCTCGTTTAAAGGAAAACCATTCAGGCTAATTAGTTACGACTCTTTTAAATTATTAAACGAAGGAAAAGAATGTATAAAACATATAAAAATAGCCGCAAAACAATATTATACCATACACGACCTAAACGACATCATTCAAATTGTTTATATATACGTAAATATATACCTAAACAAATACAAATAAATAAAAATATTATATTGATTATATTAATACTTAAATACATGTTTATATAGATTATGAAAAATATATTACTTCAATAATACCTTCTCTCAATTATTAAAAATGCGTCCCTCTCATTTGCTGTGCCCGACAAGGTCAATAAAGGCTCTCTGTATTATATTAGTAACACCATGTTAACCAAGATGATGGCGAGAATAAAAAAATCTGGAAGTGACTCGTGTTCGTTAACTCACGCCTCTAAAGCCACAATTATTTTTCAAGTTTTTCTCTTTGCATTTAGTATTAAAACCAAGTCCGTAACCCACTTAATTCACTACAGGAAGCAAACGCAATATCAGTAGAGCTACGCAAGAAAGTGCAATTCCAATTCACCCTCCTCACGGACACCCCCTACTCCCCGCTCCCCGCCGAGCTGGCCCCACGCGACGACGCGGACGACGAGTACCGCCCCAGCGCCCCGACTGTTGTCGCTGTCGAGGTCACGGATACTAAGAACGGCGCTACACATTACTGGACTCTTGAAAAATTACGGTAAGTACTTTCGAATAGACAGAGGTTAAAATGTGTGGATGTGACTAGACATGGAATGACTTAGAAAACTCCATAGTAATTAGTCATTTTTCTTATGTAATTGAACAGCGAACATTAGTCGAAGCCAAATTTACTGATATACATTAAAAAGTAGAATCTATACAGGGTGCCTCACGGCTAGGCGACACGGAGGGAAAAAATTATAAATATTATAGATAGGATATTTTTGTTACAGAGACATTATTTTATTTTTTAAAGACGTAATACTGCATTGAAAGTTTTTTTAAAGTTGCCGGCATTGTATGGCGATACAATGAAAACAAAAACTAGTTTTCCTAATTTCGCCACTTTGTTATTATGGGTGCGATGTTCTTTGACGATTATTTGCCGACCTTCGTAATCGAGTGGCTTGCACACCGGTTTTCATGGTGTTCATATGTCAGGTTCTGGGTTCGATCCCCGGCCGGGTCAATGTAGAAAACGAAATTTTCTGAATTATCGCCGGTCTGTCGGTACTGTCGTTGTTTCCGATTTCTATAACACAAATGCTTTAGTTACTTTGGGATCAGAACAACGTATGTGATGTTGTGTAATAAATATAAAGAGTACCTAGAGTTTCTTATTCAATCTTCCCAGGGAAGTTTACGAACGAGTAGTATTTAATCCAGTTGACGATTTCAAATATAAATTTGTGTACTTATGAAGTAAAGATATTTTGAATTTGGAAAGTAACGGTATACAGAATAATTTTTACATCGAGTATATAATCAGAAATAGAGTCGAAATGTAATTTAATTTGTTTGAAAACTATTCTGCCAAATCATTACTGAGACAACTGCGCTCCGATTGTTTCACTTCAATACGAGCAGTTTAACTTGAACTTTGCTATAATGGAAGTAATTGCAAAATTACATATTTAATTACCGATGTAATGTGAGTCCGTTTGTTTTGTAATTAGATGTTTTGCTGTTTTTCCCACACCACTGAATGAAACAGTCTCCCCATAGTTAGAGATATTATATTTATTACAATAAGTACAGAATATTTTTGGAATATACGGAGACGTACATAGGTCAGTTGATGGCGCTATACTATTTCAGTTTTCTAATTTATGATTTCAGAGCAAACGAGAGTTGATATTTAAAAGTGACACAAGGTTCATTTGACTGATCAGTTGCCAGGAATGGATGGCCCTTACTTCGACTCTATTTCTGGTTATGTACTCGATGCTATGCAGCAAAGATATTTTGAATTTGGAAAGTAACGGTTTAAAGAAATGGTACTGTCGAGGTTTGTGTGATTTTTGTTATGAACTCAAAAAGGAAACGTTATCACCGTTACAATGAAATTGGTCATGAAAAATTCCATAAAACAGAATCAGTTTAAATTTTTATTAAATTGATATTCAATTACTTTTTGTGAAATGACTCCACTAGTTTGTTATAATTATTAATACAAAGATCGTACACTTAGAAAACATTTCTTCGATCCGGCCGGATTCGAACCGATGTCTTCTAGCATGCTGTGTCAGGCGCTATACCAACTAAGCCACGGAACGTCCCAGCGGACCTTACGAATTTTTCTACGTGCTTGTTGTCATGTCTTTGTATTGTTTTTTCAACGACTTTAGCGCCATCTATGAGAAATCTAAATATTTGGTCACCCAGTTAGATACCTTCATCTCAGCGACATATCTAGCTGGTGCACCAGCCCCAAGCCCCAAGCCCAGTTAGATACCTTTACAGACAACTTGGTAAAGGTATCTAACTGGGTTGTGTATCTATGAGGGGCGTGTATTGCGTCTGACACGGTATGCTAGAAGACGTCGGTTCGAATCCGGCCGGATCGAAGGAATGTTTTCTAAGGTTTCGATCTTTGTATTAATAATTATAACAGAATCAGTTCTTTATTCAAACGTATTTTATATAAGATTGTTCTAAAACAGATAATTAATTCAAACGTAATCTTGATATTCATTTTGTTTGTTTATATAATTTATTTTGACTTTTTTATGTCCAAATATCAAGTAAATAATTGATTAGTTTTCATTTCGTCACGATCGTTTATTTTTGTTGCCTGTGTTGTATTTTATGCGTTTTTTTTTCATATGAATAAACTGTCCCCTTACGTTGAAATAAAAGAGATTTTGCTATTGCAGTGTCGAAAATACTTATGTATATTTGTAGTCTACAAGATATGAACATAAATGTTAATAAAAGCATATTATATTTTATATACCTACCTATAAATGTAAATTTGTATATGAAGTATTAGTAGAACAAAACAGGTAAGTAGTTTTCTACTTTAGGTCTAAAATTTATGTCTAGATTGTGTTTTTATATATTGTTAGAGCTTATTTTAGTTGCTGCTTGTTTTTATTATTTTTCATTTTCAATCAGCCATCATCCTATTTTTTAACATCATTTTTTAAATCTAGAAGTAGGTTTATGATAAGAACATTCAACGCAAACCTTTTTAAGTATTTAGAACATTTTTATAAATGTAGATTTACTTCAGTCTTTATGTACGTAACTTAGTATATGTATGTCTAACTAAACAGTTAGATATTTCTTATAACGCCATTCCGTTCACGCTACCTGAGGATAATAATGAGAAGGCTAACGAAAAGATACGCGCTTTATTTTAAGATGGAATTATTCAACTCTATATTTTTTCGATTGATTTGAATGTTCTCATCAAGGTTTTCCCCAAAACTACTAGTGGTGTTACGTAGGCGTTAAGTGATAGGTCCAGTAGGGTCGTAGGGCTACATGGCGGGCATTGTTGTAGCCACCGCCTGGAGCTGATGCGCCAGATTTACAACATGAACGAGAGCGCGTACCCTGAAGACGAGGAGCCTCCTCCTCTACTGGTCCTCGCTCCTCCTCCCGCGGTGCTGGCGCAACAGCAACAGCAGGATATCCTGCAGTGCATTTCGGCGTGTGCGCAACAGACGCGGCTATCACTGGCCAATCTGCTGCCTTCGAGGTTTGTGCCACCTCGCTGATACGCTGCTGCCAGAAACAAACTAGTCGGCTTAGGGCCTGAGCCCTTTTCCTATCACGCGGGAGCTCCGTGTATTTTTGCCGAGTCGTTATGGGTCCTTCGAGACGTATATTCGGACGAGGTACTTCAATTGATTTGACGACGATTACGACTACTACGACTTCTGGAGTGACAGTTGCCACATTCATCAAGCGGCCTAAATATATCTAAAGTGAAACAGAATGACTTCTTTGTTTCTGCCATCATTAAGAGCACAATGGGACTCCCCCCCTAAACTCGTCCACGCTTCCATGTAGCTTAACCTCGATTCGTTATCCTCATTTGTATATGTAAATGTTGTAAACTTATAATGCTTTTACCTTGACCTGTTGTCATGTAGTTAGTTTGTTCACATCATCCAGAATTTTATTCGTTGTGCTACGTTCTTATATAGCACCACAATTGAAACATTGTATTGCACAAATTCCTAATCCAATGAAGGCATCGATGGAAACCTGCTCTGCGCTGATTATTCGCATTGCATTACGAAAGTTTTGAACTGCGTTATTGCTGTACAATTATGCTTGCTATCAGACATGGCTTAAGTTGAAGTTCAATGCCCTTGTAAGGCCTGAAATATTGTCAGCTATAATGTGTTTTTGCAAGTTTGTGCCTTTGATGTAGTAAAACGTACCTAATTATAGTTTAGTACTTTAAATATGCAATGTCACCTATGCCTTAAAGAACAATGGCGAACTCCCATACAAAATTTTGTCAACATAATGTGGACCTAATCTATACGTATGTACTGAATTGTTTTCTATGGTGGCTAGCTGTCGCTCAACGTTCAGAAACTAAGAAACTGACAGCTGTAGATTGTTGTAGGCCGTCCGGTTACATATTAATTAGTCATTTGAGTTTCTTTAAAATATGTATTTATTTCCAGACTTAACTACGCCTCTATTATAATTTTAAAAAATCTAATGAATTTATTTTATTCAAACTTGTTATATATGACATTTGAATACGCTAAAGAATTATTTTAACTATAATTAATTTCGCCATTGTTCTTTACATTGCCGCGTAACCATAGCATAATTTACTTTATGTCAATTGTGTAACGTACAAACTAGATACGAGACGGCAGCTGCGGATTCCCGAGACTGGGCGTGAATTCTCCGGAAGACGCACATCCATTTTTGGACTCGTTTCTACTTTACACGTTGACACAAAGTTCACTATGCTACGGCTACAAAAATTAGCTTCTATGTAAATTGAGCCCTATAATGAACGTCTACCCTCCTTGTCATAACTAATGCATTTGAATTTTGGTGATTGTCGAGGTATTGGCACCTACTGCTTTTAAAAAACATCAATTACGATGATTTTGATATTAAAAACCGCTTTTATGGAGTTTTATGAGCTTATGCGGAAGGCATATTTACATACGCGCCTACTACGCGTATACGCGCCGTAGACGCGCTGTAGTCGCGCGATTCGATAAGAGATAGTTTATTAATTACAGTTAGTTTTTGAAATGAAGCAACTACATGAAATTCAAAGTGTAAACTCCAGTGGTGTATATAAGCTTCTTGCTTGCAACGAGATGTTTAAGCGCGTTGGAATTGAGTCACTACAGTGCGGTGCGTATACCTGTATCTGTCTGTCTGTAGACAGATGCGTTCGTGAAACGCGCGTCGTCGGTGTGTATAAAATAAACCGTGCGCATAGGCCCTTAGATCTCGTTTAACTGATTCCAGACATGTTAATAACTCAATTTCGCTAAAAAATGTTGATTACGTTACTTATGATGAGGGCACTATTACTTTTATGCAGAAAGTCCATTAGAATTTCTGATGAACCAAACGGAGAAAATCTCGACGTCAGACTCAAGTACGATGTTTGTTTACAGACAACGCCTCGAGCTAATGCGCGAGATGTACCACAACGAGGCGGAGCTCTCTCCCACCTCGCCCGATCACAACATCGAGTCCGTCACCGGCGGAGACCCTTTCTACGATAGATTTCCCTGGTTCCGTCTAGTGGGAAGGTAAATCTTACTTTTTTGCTTAAACAATTGTAGCTTTAAGGTTAAGTTATCCTGTTTATAGAGATGTGTTTACCCGATAACGTCTTTCTAAGGGCCAGCGCAAACTGGGGAACCGGAAGGCTGAGACCATTAAATTTATCGATGTATATTTTATCCTATTTCAATTGAAATAAGATATAAATTTCAATGCTCTCAAAGGTCGGTATGCGACGGAATCCACCGATATGCGCAGGAATCCACCTGTAGTCGCAGGAATCCACCTGTATGCGCCGGAACCAACCGGTATGCAATGAAATCCACCGGTATGCAATGAGATCCATCGGTATGCAAATCCGAGCGACTGGTGGCATGTCGGTGGATGCCGCGACAATCCAATGCACTCAGTGAATATCCCTTATCAGTGTGCAAAAGATATTCTTCTAAACCCCCCCGCGCCATCCGCCGGTTTGCGCTGGCTGGAATAGTTTCAATCCCATGGTCTCTGTATTCTCAAGGAATACGATATAATTATCTTACTTGTCTGGTTAAATGAGAAACACCTACAAGCCATTATTTTGTGCTCAATTAAACGTGTCATTTGTTGATTTATTTTGTTTTTCTCTGAACAGGAGCTTCGTATACCTGTCGAACCTGTTGTATCCGGTTCCGCTCATTCACAAGGTCGCCATCGTGAATGAGAAAGGAGACGTGAAAGGTTACCTGCGCGTAGCTGTACAGGCTGTCATCGACGCTGAAAAGAGTGAGTACCTGTCGAATTTTTAGCATACTCGTAATCCACTTAATTACTATATATTAAGAAGTCAATTACGCAGCGACGCTATAAATATGAAAATGTACGCAATTATTACAATTTACAAAATTAAAATAAATTTATTTTAATTTACAAAAGTATCACTTTTGTATGAAACTGTATTTATTTTCACACATTTAAACAATAATAATTTGAAATTTACCATGAGCTTTTCGTTAAAGGAAAACATCGTGATGAAACCTACACACATCTTCAGAACAATTTAATTAAGTATATAAAGTTCTACAGGAGATGAGGGTTTGTGTCCAGCAGTGGGCAGACTATTATATCGATGACTTTCTAGAATAGTGACCTCTCTCAAAATTAATTAATTAATTAATTAGTCAGGAATTTGCTTTAAAAACATCTGAAGCATATCTAACGTACAAAGCCGACGAATCACACAGGGGCACATGTTGTCACTTGTTTATTTTAATAAGAAGCTCGGTGTTTTTTTACAATATAATTTAGTACATTCTGAATGCGGTTGTGTTATAAAGAGAAATGTGAACTATTTCGGTTTATGTCACTATTTTTTAAACCTTTAGACTATATGCTACATATTATTTTTAGTATAATATAGGCCTATAGGTTAACACTGTCATTATTTATTATATCATATATATTATAAAAAAAATATTATAAATTGAATATTTTGACATTGGCACTTTTGCGTTTATTTCGCTTTTTTCGTCCGATGTCGTAACTTGTAAAAGAATTAAATTAAACAAGTAGAAAACCTCCCATAAAATTGTAGACAATGGCGAGTTCGCAGCGGGCGTGAAGCAGTCGGCGAAGATCTCGTTCGACGAGGACGTGGCGCCGACGCGGTCCAGGCTCAAGGCACTGGCGAGCGTCGACAAGAACAACATGATGAACCTTGAAGACCGCATTGGGGAAATGCCCGATTCAAATATTAAGATAGAAGGTGTGTAATGCATGCTATGAAAGCAGTCGTTTAATTTCTTTGATTGAAAGTTATACCAGTCACCAGGATTGTCAAATCCTTCTGCAACATCTAGGCAGATCTTGGTGCTAGCGAAATAATTATGAAAAGTTAGGTGGCATAAAGAAGCAAGTATCAAATCAGTTTAAATAAGTATTCCAATTACAATATAATCAGCAGTGGTAGGAATAGGCTGTTCCAAATGAGTAGATTTTTGTTATGATACAAAGTGACAGGACTGGCGAACGTAACTGGAGTTAAGCGTGAGACGTACGTTTACAAGTCTCATGTGCCTGTAATTTCACTTACCCTGCTAAACTGCTTGGCGTCAGAAATAGGTAAGGTGGCAGTACTTCCCTGGACGAACTCTTTCACAAGAAGCTACAAAACAACATAATAGTGTTGCTTCTGATTTTCGAATTCCTGAAAAAAAAAAAATATGAAAAGATAGTTATCTGTTGCAATTTTTACATGGCGCCATTAGAATTACAGTAAAATCCAATTTCAGCTTCATAGTGAGTACTGTATCCAACGATGCAGTAAAACTATTTCCGGAAATCCGGAATTTGAAAATATTACATTATTGCAAAGGCCGGGAAGTAAAGGATTGAAGGACGAGTATGAGTTACAAAGCTGAACACCGCAAGTGCTTGAATACAAGTAAATTATTCCATGTTCCCGCCGAGGTATATATAGTGCTTTTCTCAAACAATGCTAGGAAATACAGACTAAAGAAATTTTAATTTACTGGCACTGATGGTAGGTATTTGGCTGTATGACTGTTTTCTTTAGTCTGTTTACACAGCTCTTTATTAGTAGATATATTAAGAAGTTTAGAGCAGCGGACAATAATGTATTTTCATACCTATTTTGGCCCAGGCCAGCAAAGAGTTGCACGCTCCATAAATGACAGACTTTATGGGTTCTTTTTGTGAAAGTAATGCGAACCTTTTCGAACATGTTTGAGAAAAAGTATTATATTTAGACATTTATCTGCTCCTTTGGAACAGTCTGTTTAGCCATTGATAACTGACCAACCAACGACTTATTAATTTCTACCTACCACCACCATGGTACATAGTCTTATTATACATTACTTATACATTAGTCAATTAAAAAAATATTATATACTAATCTATAATAATAATAAAAAATATTATATAATAATCGTCGTTCCTATTTTGAATTACTCAGTCAGTATCTAAAATTAAAAAAAAACCGTTTAATACTTTTCTTAAGAATAATATTGCGTTTATGAAAATCGATAGATTCATTTAAATGTATTTTATTCTTATACAGAATTAGGTGCAGTGGAGTGCGACGCGGATGCAGATAGCGGACGCGGCGATAGCTCGCTCGCGTCAGAGCTGAAGGACGAAGAACTACCAGAACACTTGACTTTGGGCCGCGAATTTACGTTCCGTGTCACCGTGCTACAGGCGCATGCCGTCTCCACTGACTATGCCGACGTATTCTGCCAGTTCAAGTTAGTATTAATGTTGAAAGTATTGTTTATTATAACTAAAGTAAAGTTCGCAGTATTAAGCAACTTCGGTAATTATAATTTTTCATGAAGCTGCGTTGACGGCCTATCACGGCTACATTTCATCCGTGCTCAGCTACGGTCTCGTACTATGGGGCAACTCAGTAGTCTTAGAAAGAGCGTTTAAAGGGCAAGAAGTGTATTCGAGCAATTTGCGGTGCGTGGTTCGATGACAGTTGCAAACCGCTGTTCAAAAGGCTAAACATACTGCCTTTGCCACGCATGTACATTAGGGATATTTGCGTATTTGTCAACTCTCATCCTCAATATTTTAAAACACATGTTGGAGTCATTCAAAGGCAAACTAGAGCAAAAATTATGAATCTTCTATACCAACCTCGTTGCCATAAATTAATTTATAAGAATAACTGATTCAACATGTGTATTTATTTCATGTGTAATTATTTATAATAAATTACCAAACGAAATGAAATTGTTACAAGGACATACTTTTAAATTACAATTGACAAAATGGTTTTTGACACATTGCTTCTATAGTAATAAAGAATACTTAGAATATACAAATTCATTACTTCAGAGACTAAACATTAAATCCCATTAATATTTGCACATCTGCTTGCAGGTTGAATACAATGTACCTAATTTTACTAAAGACCTATATAATTATTGTATTCTATTCGTCTCGCAATTACAATTTCAAGTCTATTACAATCAAAAAGGTGCACCAGAATCACGTTAGGCACTTAGCACTCTACTCATCACTTTTATAATTACGCAAATTATACCATAATTGTTGTCATCTTAAATCTAAAGTTGTGATGGATCGTGGATGTTAATTTTCTACACATTTTTTTACAGCTTCCTTCATCGTAACGAAGATGCATTCTCTACAGAGCCTGTCAAGAACGCCGGGAAGAACACACCGCTTGGCTTTTATCACGTACAGAATGTAAGTCACAAAAGAAAAAAAATTGTTTCCTTGATTATATTGGACTAGGCGTATTTCTCCTTCTCTTGAGTGTTTCTCCAATTTTGGAAGGTTGGCCACCAATTCTGCCATCGTGAGGTGTAATTAGTTCCCTGAGCACGCGACTCACATCCATTTTATAATGTTATCAAGCCGGGGTGGCTTTTTTTACGGCCCATTTTCCTACTTCACTTCCTTCATTTCTTATTTTGTAACGATACAAATACCACAAGGTATAACCATTTTATTTTAAATTAACATTCTTGGATAATTCACACCCTTGCTGTTATAAAGCCACATCTGCAAAATGATAACTTTTCAGGAGAGAGGTCTGTAGATTTATCGAAGAAATTGTTTCCGTGGTCGAAGGGCTTGCACGCCGGTTTTCGGTGTCGAAATCACTGAGGTTCCAGGTTCGAACCCCGGCCGGATCAATTTAGAAAAACTAACTTTTCTATATTTCGGGTCTAGGTGTTTATGTGTGTCGTCGTTGTTTCCAATTTCCATAGCACAGGTGCTTTAGGTATGTACCTTGGAACAACGTATGTGATGTTGTCTAATATTTTAAAAAAAATGGTAAAAAGAAAATTTATTTAAGATTGCATTATATCATTATACGATTTCTTATATGGAAATTAAATTCTTTTTTTGGATCTAATTTTGGATTGTTTGATAAAACAATTATTACGTACGCAATTTAGATTTAAAAAAATAATTTTTCTTTAAATTTTTAGCAATCGAAATTCGAAATCGAAAAACTGAGAACTCGATATTTATTATTTCCTTTTGTTCGCAGATCACAGTTCCGATAACAAAATCATTTGTCGAATATATAAAAACACAACCGATTGTTTTCGAAGTCTTCGGACACTACCAGCAACATCCTCTTCATAAGGTACATACATTACTAGTTGTTCTATCAATTATTTTTTAGAATACGAACTCGAAAAATCTTTTTATTTCTTAATATCAATGTTAACGTTGGACGAAAACACCGACCAAAACGCTTATCAGAAAGGGTTCATGAAATGATTTTTTTTTCTAATTTGTTCGACCACAGAATACTCAACGTTCTGTTGACAGGACGCCAAACAAGATGGCGTTGTAGGTCGCACGCCGCCCCGTCGCATGCTGCCGCCCAGCATCCCGATCTCCGCGCCCGTACGCAGTCCTAAATGGGGAGCCGCCGCCGTGGCACCACCTTGCTGCTCCTCGCATCTGCACTCCAAACACGACCTTCTTGTTTGGTTCGAGATTTGCGAACTCGCACCCAACGGAGAATATGTGCCAGCGGTAAGTGACTTTGATAGATGTTTTATTACCACGCACATTTTTTACGCAAATATAGTCACGTGTGATGAGAGGAACTTACTTCATTTTGAGTCAAATGTTTTGTGCTCTAGGAAGAATAGATATAGTTTTATAAGAATTTTTAAGTATACTTAACTTGCTTTTATTCTTCGGCTTTATGTTTTAAAAATCATTACGCTAAATTCAATACTTACGATGTATTTAAAACGTACAAATTGTATTAATGAAATTTAACAAAAAACTACCTCCATTATTTGTAGACTACGCCTTGGTCACGTGACAACTCCTGCCCACCTGTTCAAACTCAAAATTGTTCCTGACCCTGCATGCTCATGCGGGGCCTATGGGGATCTAGATCATATCTTCTCGTGCCCCTCAATTGACCACAATACTTTCATATCCGAACTCCTGGCAATCAGTGTCCCACTCCCCACCTCCATAACAAGTTTATTATATTTATGCAACAAAGGTGATTACAATATTGTGGCCTTATTTATTGAAAATAATAATATCAAGCTTTAATATGTATGCCGCTATATAATAGCTACCCACCTTCCCAATCCTTTTTCATCTAAATTCCGTACCTCTTCCATAATCTGTAATTCTGCTTTCAAAACACTTTCATTAGCTAAATGCAAAGGCAAACTAATATAAAATGTTCTCAAGATTCCAGAACTGTCAAATTTGTTTTTCCTGCCTTTTGGATTTGGAACATCGTAGCGACATTATTATCTTTAAAATAGTTTAAACTAATTTGATTGTCTGTTTTATCGACTGTAGTGCTAACTTAAAACCTATGACTTAAGGCCTTCAAGTCCCTCTTCCTCTTACCCCACCTCACTCCTTTACGTAATACATTCTTTTTTTGACATTCAGTCCCTTATTCAAGTATTTAGTTTTGACACTTCAAAACATGCCATGATTAGAATGTTATGACAATATTAAAACTCGTCATTTGCAGGTGGTGGAGCACAGTGACGACCTGCCCTGTCGCGGCCTGTTCGTCTTGCACCAAGGCATCCAGCGCCGAATCCGCATCACGATCCTCCACGAACCCTCGCAGAACCTCGTCTGGAGCGATGTCCGTGAGCTGGTTGTTGGTACGTATACTATAACTGTCCAGTGTATTTCAGATCGAATACAACAATGTACATATCATATTTTGACTACATAAATGTCTAGCCTATAGGTATGGAAACCTACTGTTGAAATAGTCTCGAAAGTTTCAATAATTTTTCCCGGAATGCGGAAATGGAGCGAAACTGAAAACCCCTATTTAATAAACCATTAAAGTCATGCTAAAACAGCTAGGTTGAATTGACCAAACAAATACAACAATGGATGTGTTCGTAAACTATTTAGGATTTATAGTAACATATCAAAAAATCTCAACATACTTAATAGTAACAAAAATTGTCTCAAAAGCAAAAGTTATTTATAGTCTGCAAGACTGTGTAAAATGACAGTCCATTGTTAAAAGTGTTGCCCGCTTGCGAGCAGCTAGTGGTTGCAGTCGATATTCTATCGACTATCGACTAAATATTGGTCACACAAGTTCATTTGAATTGGTGAATTAATGTGTTCTTTTGTGCAGGCCGGATTCGCAACACTCCAGAGGCCAACGAAGACACAACAGACGGCGACGAAGACGGCGCACTGTCACTCGGCTTGTTCCCCGGAGAACGACCTACGCTTGATGACAGGGCTGTATTCAGGTACGAGGCAACATGACAGTCATATTTATGTATTATTTCGAAATTACAGTTTTAAAGTAGTATACTGAAAGCAAAACAGTTTTATATGCCATATTAAAAAACTAAAACAGTAGTCATTTGTAGACCGTTACTTTCGTAATTTGGTTATTTGGTACCAGGAACTATACTAATATTTAACTTATAATTAAATTTTAGGTTGTGTTTTTGTATTGACATTGTTTATCTTTTTTTTTCTGCTATGTTGAAAAATATGATAATGCTGTGTGCGCCGCTATTAATGGATTGCAGATGTATTTTCTATTTGCCATGCATTACGTTTAATTTATCAATATGAATTTGTATTCTCTAGTTGTGCCAATAAATAAATAAATAAATAAATAAAATACAAGGGATATATAGTACAAAGGACATATAGTTCATGCTATTTTTTGATATCGTTACAAAAATTCACTTCTATCCCGTCCCGCGGCAATGTAAACTGAACCTTATTTTTATGCCAAGACGTCGGGTCCGCGCTAAAAAGTGTCCGAACTTATAGAGCGTTAAAATCGTATACAGAGCGTCATTCACGCTTTAGTCTTCGTTTGTTCGACTGACAACGAAGCAAGCAAAATTAGACAGTACTGGGAGCTTATTAAATATTTGAAATAATTGTATTGCGCAGATTCGAAGCAGCCTGGGACAGCAGCTTGCACGGGTCACCGATGCTGAACAGGGTCAGCCAGAACGGAGAAGTTGTCTACATCACACTGAGTGCTTATCTTGAGGTATGCATTACAATTTATTGTTTATTTAGCCAAGTGCAATCAATTACGTCATCGACAGGATAGCGGCTGCGCCATTGTTTGTGAAAGCCTGACTAAGTATTCCTTAAATAATGTGATGAAGAAGATAGGCGGTAGCCCTTAAAGAACTTCCAAGACTGTATTGGTGTTACTATATACATTTTGACCTTTGTCTAAGTGAATAAAAAACAGCCAATATTTGTGTTGGCATTTTCAATAACACAAGTCAAGAAACAAAACATTGCAGGCAGCCAATTTCTCATTACCTAATATTTCGAGCAATTCCTTTGAAGGTCACTTCTCTGTCGTTTCTCCATAACCAGGTAGGTTAGGTCACTTCACGAGACTGGTCCAGGTATTCGTACACTATACCAAGTGTGATCATGGGCCAATTCAAGACGATTGTTAATCTTCGTACTACAGATTATAATTCTGAAAAAGGTCTAAATTCCGTCTTACATCTAGAAGGTTTGGGAATATTTATATTATCTAAATGACGGTGTATATCAATTAATTCCTCTTTAATATGAAACATAAGTGGTCAACAGACCACACACATTTTGTTCCTTGTAATATAATTGAACTATTAATTATGAGCCAAAATTATTTTCTGAACTTAAACAAATATGCGTATCAATAAATGGCTTGTTACAAACTAATTTAAACACTAACGCTTGCTAAAAAGGGTAGATAGCGCTTATACTAAACAAAATAACAGAATAGCCGACAGTGTCCAAACCTGTGCAATAAGCGCCATCTAGTTGATTTGTTTGTTATGACTAGAAATTGAGCAGCTTTGATAAATTGCAACTCGTCAATGTAAAAAAAAAATAGTATTAAGGAGGTGGGGAAATGAAAAATGAGACGGGCAGCGTAACGGTTTTTATTTGAAAAAACACAAACAGAAAAATATTCCTCAACTAAAAAGCACCTCTTAAATAGACAATCTAATCAACCCTTTCTCTAAATGGGACAGTGTTACTATTTTACAATTATTATATTTACTATATTCCTCGATCGATATTAATTAATAACAATGATAAACAACGAAATCTAATACTCACCGACATTATTTACAAAGCATCTTCATGTAGTGACAGCGTGACGGATTTAACTATACTGTTTTAGAGCCTGCAATAGGTGTAGGGCTGGTGTAGGTACATGGGGCCGCTAACAATTTATTAGATGAAAGTCATAATCATCATCATCATTCAGCCATACGACGCCCACTGCTGGGCATAGGCCTCCCCCAACGATCTCCACGACGATCGGTCCTGCGCTGCCCGCATCCATCGGCTTCCCGCGACCTCCACCAGATCGTCGGTCCACCTGGTGGAGGGCCTACCCACTGAGCGTCGTCCGGTGCGCGGTCGCCATTGAAGAACCTTTCCGCCCCAACGGCCATCGGTTCTCCTAGCTATGTGCCCCGCCCACTGCCACTTCAGCTGAGCAATTCTTCGAGCTATGTCGGTTACCTTAGTTCTCCTACGGATTTCCTCATTTCTGATTCTAATACGCAGGGAAATACCGAGCATCGCTCTCTCCATTGCCCGCTGAGTGACCTTGAGTCTTCTTTCAAAGTCATAAAAATAATATAAACTACATGAAATAAGTATATTTTAACTCTCCTGTTTAAAATGTACATCCATAACTAAGTTGATTCGTATCATTTTGCGTATCGACTATGAACTGGCAACCGATACTAAATCAATTTTGACAATTTTACAAGATGAAGAAAAGATTTATTTGCATCATTTATATAGCATCTGGTTAGAAGTTAGTACAGGTTGAATTAAATGTATCTGAGATGGAATTTCTTGCAACGTTGCGGAGTATGAAATAGTATGAAATGATATTAAAAAGTGAACTCTTTACAAAATTGAGATAGTACCGGTTGCCATTTCACAGTCGATATGTGGCCTTACTTACACTTACTTATTTCGTGTCATTTCCAATAACGCGCTGCTGCGTGTCGAGCAGGTGGAGAACTGCAGCCGTCCGGCTATAGTCACAAAGGATCTGTCCGTCGTGGTGGTAGGCCGCGATGCGCGTTCGAGCCGCTCGCTGCGCCGCGCGCTCTTCGGTTCGCGAGCCGCAAAGGCTGACCACCTCACTGGGGTATATGAGCTCAGTCTGCACAGGGCGCTTGAACCAGGTTAGTACATGTATTACTGACCTATAACTCAACCTTAGTGAATAATTACGATAATAAACCCCTGAAAAACATGAAACAATTTCCGTCTAATCCAACCTTGACTTTGTTGCATAACGTCACAATCACGATAATTAGTAAATTAAAAAACAAACATAAATATATTAAGATATTATTATATTATATTATAAAGAATTATACATCTAAAGCCAAACTAAAGCCAGAGACTTGGAAGGTCCGGAAGGAGGTGGCATGATGAGCATCAAGCTCATACGCGATTTTGGCTTGTAGCGGCGTTAAATTGCGCTGAATGAAACCCGTGCAGTAGGATAGTAACCGCCGAGGCACAAGAAACCCAAGATCGACACAGCAGCAACACCCGTGACCTTGAATCACTTGAACCGACATTGTCGCCGTCTGCTGTCTGTGAAGTGAGTGAAGAAAAAGAAGCCTAAGCTCAAAATACAACTGGAACCAGATGGGACCTTGATTATCCTTAAATCACTTGAAACGGCATTATCACTTGCTACTGTTCGCCACATACTTAATGGCATACACGTGAACAGTAAGAAGTCGTTCAAGAACATAAAGCTGTAAAAACAAAACTATGTGGCAATAAAATTTACTTTAACCTTTGTTGCGCAGGAGTGCAAAGACGCCAGAGACGAGTTTTGGACACCAGCGGCACGTACGTGCGCGGTGAAGAGAACCTGCACGGTTGGAGGCCGCGCGGAGACTCGCTCATCTTCGATCACCAGGTACCTAACTATATAAAAATTATACGAGTTTCAGTCGTAAAGTGACTGACAATGAAATAACTGAAAATAATCTCCTCATTTAGTTATCAGAATGCCATACGTTTTGGCATTGATTTAAATAGATTGCAATAGATGTCGCTCCTTTGTTTCCGCGTTAGCTTAAAAGTTTATTAGTCTAGTAGTACATATTTGTGTATAATGAATTTATAAATTTGTCTGTAAAATAAATTTTTGTTATAATTATTAATACAAAGATCGAACACTTAGAAAAAATTCCTTCGATCCGGCCGGATTCGAACCGACGTCTTCTAGCAAATAGTATCAGACGCTATACCAACTAAGGCACGGAACGAACCAGCGGACCTCACGAATTTTCCTATGTGCTTGTTGTCGCATCTTTGTAGAGCCATCTATGAGAAATCTATAAAAGTATTTCGTCAACCAGTTAGGTAGTTCTGTTATGTCTTTATCACTGATACAAAAATCGAATTCACACAAAGAAAAATTCCTTCCGATTAGACTGGACTCTAACTAGCTTCTGTAGCCATGTCGAGGCAACATACGCTGATTCGAGTCCTGTCGGATCGCATAAAATTTTCTGTTTTTTCGATCTTTGTATCAATAATAATAATATCTAATGTCTATCTAAAAATGAATATCGCGTTTTAAATTGTTTATTTTTTGTTAGACATGACGTCGAGCTACATCTATTTTCTTATGCGCAACATAATTGTTTTAAAATGCATGACATTTGTCATTAATGAACTCGCGATTTAGTTTGGTAATATTAGCATTAAGAAACTTAGTATGTAATGATGTCAAAGAGAAAGATTAAAGTACACCGATCGACACTACGAAAGGTAAGTTTACAAATAACATTGCTAATTTTAATATTCATTATCACGACGACCTAAAGATCAATTTACGTTTGGTAACGAAATTGTACATAGCATAATGAAGAACTAACTCAAAACTTAAACTTCTGTAACGTGCAATTTTGTTCCACGGCAATGTAAATTAAGCCTAAAAATTGAGTATCATGAAGCATTCACTTGATTTGAGTGAATATATATTATACATACCATTTATACACGAGGTTGCTCGTGTATAAATGGTATGAGCAGACTATCATTGTGATGATAGAGGACGGGCGTGACGTGGATTTGGTCTTTAGTAGTGGGAGGCAAGGATCCCACTGCTTAGAAGCAGAGGGATAAAAATGCTTTTTCACTTCTCATGCTCTAAAAGGAGGTCAATATAGCCTTACGTAGCGGGAGTAATGTGCACCCTTAATCCCTAGGGAGTAAATTACCTAATTTTTTAATTTACTTCGATTGAACAAACTCAAACAGCCGGTAGTACGCTCGGTTTTAGTTCCGAGCCTTTTCCGCATAGACGGTGGCGCCGTATTATTTTCCCGCGCTAGTGCGTTTGTTGTATCTGTCTGGTCTGAAAAATAAAATACGTCGAAATCTTTAGAATTTTGGTTCGTAATTTTGTTGTACAGCGAAAACGACCGAAATATTTATATTTTGCTCGTAATCGAAGTGAAAAGTAAAGTTTTCACCTCGAGATTAAAAGCCAATATAAACCTTCGGAGTAATTGACAGGTATAATATTGGCTTGTTTTAGTCCCTCGAAAAAATATACTATTAAGGACCTATTTACAAGTTGATCGTAACTTTTTAGAATATATTTAATGGCGGTACTTCCCAGGGCTACTTGTATTCGCTATTAGGTGTTTAGTGTACTTGGAAAAATATTTGAGTTACAGGCAAACATGCGGACACTGACAAATACGTTCGTCTACACATGGAAACCAATAAGGAGTTAAAATAATGAATATGCTTATTGTGTGGACTGTTAATTTGCGTATTTGCCTATTTGGCTCCTTTGATGTGCGTCGAGAAATCGACTAGTATCAAATACGTAAATATAAGCCATGTGAAGTGCTGCCATAAGAGCCTATCTATGCACACGTTTTTTACGTGCAAATGACGCGTGATTCAGTAGCAATCAATAAACGTTCGCAAATTCAATGGCGCAATTGCAAAAAATGTTGTGGTTTAGTCGTTTTACATGCGCATAAAATGCGATACAGATGTGCTTTGTGCGTACGTCTTACGCACGTTTTGATACCTCCAATGAACGAACACTACTTCAACTTAATTTTTGGGTCATCTCTTTTAAGTTTCCTTATTTTTTTCACATAATTTGTTTTATTTTATTTTTTTTTATTTTGTTTCTTTATTTTTTTCGTAAAATTCAAGGAACATAATATTAGTAAATAAAATGGGGTTGTTAACATTAAAAACAGACAATGACGACTAATACGGCTTGTATAGCTTTGTACGCGCGTTTGTATCAATACATACGCAACAATCTTTCCTTTCTTAAGCTTTTTGAGCCTCTGCAGCGTGTAAAGCCGTCATCTGCGTTTAAAAAATACTCTGTGTACATAGGCTCTATGAAATGTTGCAATAGAAAAGTCACAATCCTAACTTACTAAACTATGGAAACCTAGGTTTTGCAAGAAAATAATTTTTAAAATAATTTTCTTTTATTTTCCACGCTCGCAGAATCGCTCTTGGCGCAAGTTTCTCTATGATTGGCCGCTACGCGTGCTCGAGCGTCACCAGGTCACAAACTATGTTTCGTAGCTATTTAGTATGCCACTTCACCCATCGATTTGTATATTGCCCAATTGCCCATCCATACTAAATAGCTGTTGAAAAGTATTTTGTGTACCGGTTGTTATTTACTTTTATGTGTTATAGAAGTTGTAGAAGGTTTATTATTTATTTTTATATATTTTACGCTATTCATTCTGCTTATTAGAATACAACACTATTTCATCAAAAAACACAAATACAAACAAACAGATAGCCATACAGACAAGAAAAGAAACTATAATTAACTAGTTGGAAAGCTGCAAGCTTCTGTATCATTATGTTTTATCGCTTTCTATTTATGTCTAAGAAATAGCACGTTTTTTT